TCCATGGTGAGAAGTGTTCCCCCAAAATGAAGTAACACTGAGACAGAGATTATTGTTTTTGGCAAGTGGGTCATAAGTGATCTTTGAGAATCTAGTTTTAATAAAGGATGGGCAGACTCAGTGATAGAAAAGACAGTCTGGGGAATATAATCAATAATGTTGTAAATATTTTTTAGGGGGCCAGATGGACTCATGTCTTGTTAGGGAGACCACTTCATAGTCGGTGTGGAGGCCTGACCACCGCACTGTATTTCTGAAGCTGATGTTGAATAATAATGTATGTCAACTATAATTATATACACATATAGACACGGGATGTGTAGTGTGGGAAAGGAGTCAATGGAATTGTAATAGGTAAGTATGATATCGGGGGTGGGAGAGCAGTAGATGGGGGGAGGGGTTTGTTTCTGTGTGAAGTGTGAAAAGGATAACTACTGCATTGTTCTGTGCACCTGAAACAAACAAACAAAAAAAGGATGGGCAGAATGGTGAGATCTCTAGAGCCATTTCTATATATTTAGAAGCTTGAAATAACTCTTGAAAAGACCTTTAACAAGTTATTAGTTAAAAATATTGGCCACAGCCATGGACATATTTATAATCATCTGTCTCTAGATTAATTGATGGCACTTTATTCTCTGCCCACAAATTTATAAAATGTTTTAAGTGACAAGGACCCAGAAATCATTTAGCGAAAGACTGCAAATTGGTAGCTAATGAGTCAAATTTCAGCTTTCATGTTTTGAACTTTTGTTCCCACATTTTCAGCTTCTCTATTAAATACAAAAGATCTGCTAATACTGATATTACATTCCCAATGCACCTTTTGCAAGAAGCATATATATATATATATATATATATATATATTCCATTGCCATGTGGATACCGCAATAACCTAATGATGCCTCACTTCACTCATTTCTGGTAACTGCCTGGGCCCTGTAGCTGTGAGGTATCGAAGATAGAAACCCCTGAACTTAACATTTATAGGAAACAGTAAATTCATTAACCATTTACTACCTACTCTAGGTTAAGGCACAGCGGGGGTAAGGTCAAAATCAGTTAGTAGCAGAGCCAGAAGCAGAACTCTATTGCCTGACTCCCAGATTCCTAAGTGAACTGTGGCCTCTGCTGACACTCAAGACAACTGGATTTTCCAAAACAGATGCTGATTAGACCACCATATTTTAAAAAAGAAAAATAATCTGTATATAAATACCATTTTATTAAGAAGACAGTTCTCATGCATTCACAGAAATGTTACCAAAATGGGTTACCCACACATGAAAAATATCTTTACCTACACACAAATGCACGTCAAAGTTAAAGGAAAAGCTTTCAGGAAATTATCTTCAATTTACTTCTTTATGTGCACCTTACTTGTCGGACATTTAAGTCCTTGGTTGACAAAATAGCTGCTTCCTTTGACTCAAGTCTCTCTGGCCTTCAGTCTCTTCTCATTCAAATCCGAAACTACCTTTAAAAAATAAAGCTGACAGCTGAGTAATACAACAGTGAGAGATCCCATGATGTCGCTGCTTTAAAACCTCTGTTTCCACAATGCATATGGGATGGCCTACAGAGTCCTTAAGGTCCTTTCAGACCTGCCTGTGTTTCAATCAAGGTGGGAGGAAGCTGCCTCCACAGCCTCATCTCCCCTGCTTCCCCCGCTTTTCTCCACACACATCAGGACTCTGAAGATACAAATACTATTCCCTCTCATCTACAGACCTAGATTTTGCCACTGATGATTTGGCATCCCGTACACACAGGACCAAACTAACAGCCAAAGTTGTTCACTTCTCCACTCCCCGCCCCACCCCCCAGTTTGGCTTTCACAGGCACACTAAAATCATATCACCAACTCTTCAACCACAAAACGCCAATACTTGGGTTTTACTTCCTGCCCAACAGGGGACATCCCCACCTAACAACTTCGCACCACTGTAATAACAAAGCCTTTGTGCCCGTGCTCTCCCCTCACTGCTGTCTCCTACCCAACTCAGGTGCTTCCCTATGTGGGCTGTGTGCAGTGGCATGTCCCCTTCTCCAGGGAACTGTTGAAGTAATCAGTTCTTCTTTCCAAGGCTGTCATCTCCATGTCTGTCACCTTACCATATTTGATCAAAACAAATCTGGGTACATTTTTAATACAAGCCCTTCCCCCCCCCTTTTTTTTCCTTAAAAAAATCCTTTGCAATGGAGATTAAATGGTTTAAATACCACCTCCGTGGTAAAGCCCAGGGCAGTCTGTTGCTCGGCCCCTTGAGCTGCATACCACATTGCTCCTAACACAGTTTGGGCAGCCTTGGCTCAGTTTTATAAAATTTCTGTTTTTTGTGTTCTTTTACACCCACTGGGCTTTGAGAGCCTGAATGAAAAGAAAGACTCAAGTCTCACCCAGTACAGTTCGTTTACACATATTAGGGACTCAGGCTATAAGAATGAATTTTTTTTTTTAATTAGGAAAAGCACAGAAATTTTAAAGCTGGCCAACATCATCTAAAACCCATTGAAAGACATTTCATTTTCACTCCCATCGAGTCCTCTGTTGTATTGCTCTACAAATGTTCTACGCTCCTACCCCAGGACACTGAGATGAGAGGGGACAGAGTGGCAGTGGGGGGAAGGGAGCAAGGCCAGTGATGTCCCCTAAGGAACACAGACCAGTTCTGATTGGCTCTGGGAGGATAAGAGCAGAACTACACTTAAAATCCAGAGAACTGTTTCATTCCTGTCAATCTTCTCAGGCCTTCC